TGTGTGTGTGTGTGTGTGTGTGTGTGTGTGTGTGTATAACACCACCTGTCTAATTTTTTAAGCACTGTGTGTTTGTGTGTGTTTGTGTGTGTGTGTGTGTACATATAGATAGATAGATAGATAGATAGATAGATAGATAGATAGATAGATAGATAGATAGATAGATAGATAGATAGATTATTCAACCACTAAAGCACATGTTTCTTACTGATTTGGGAATTACCAGTGCTGTGAATTTAGTGCAACTGTGGCATAAACCATACATAGGTGGTGGTCTAAAAAAAATTATTAAGCACTGTATATACAATTAAAACCAGAAGTTTATATACAGTGTATAAAATGACATATAACCTTTTTTTCCTCACTGTCTGACATTAAATCTGGCTAAAGTTTTCCTGTTTGAGGTCAGTGAGGATTACCAAAATTATTTCTATTTGCTAAATGGCAGAATAATGAGAGAAAATATATTTTTTTTTAGAGAATTTTTTATTACTTTCTTCAAAGTCAGAAGTTTACATACATTTCCTTAGTATTTTAGGTGCATTGCCTTTAAACTGTATGAATTGGGTCAAATGTTTTGGGTGTCCTTCCACAGTCCTCTCACAATAGTTTGCTGGAATTTTGGCCCATTCCTCCTGACAGAACTGATGTAACTGAGTCAGGTTTGTAAGCCACCTTGCTCGCACACACCTTTTCAGCTCTGTCCAGAAATTCTCTACAGGATTTAAATCAGAGCTCTGTGATGGCCACTCCAAAACACTGACTTTGTTTTCCTTAAGCCTCTTTGTAACTAATGTGGCAATATGCTTATTAGGTCATTGTCCATTTGGAAGACCCATTTGCACACAAACTTTAACTTCTTGGCTGACATCTTCAGATGTTGCTTCAATATTTCCACATAATGTTCTGTCCTCATGATGCCATCTATTTTGTGAAGTGCACCAGTTACTCCTGCACAAAACACCCCCACAACATGATGCTGCCACCCTCGTACTTCACAGTTGGGATGGTGTTCTCAGGCTTGCAAGTTTCCCCCTTTGTCCTCCAAATGTAACGATGGTCATTATGGCCAAACAGTTCAATTTTGGTTTCACCAGACCATAGGACAGGTCTCCAAAAATTAAGGTCTTTGTCCCTGTGTGCATTTGTAAACTGTAATCTGGCTTTTTTATCGTTGTTTTTGTAGAAATGTCTTCTTCCTCTCTGAGTAGCCTTTCAGCCCATGTCAGTACAGGACTCATTTCACTGTGGATAATGACGTTCTCTTACCAGCTTCAGCAGCATCTTCACAAGGTATTTTGCTTTTGTTCTGTGGTTGATACGCACATTTCACACCACAGCACTTCATCTCTGGGACACAGAACCTGTTTCCTTCCTGAGCGATATGATGGCTGGACATTCCCATGGTGTTCATACTTGCATATAATTGTTTGAACAGATGAATGTGGAACCTTTAGGCATCTGGAAATTGTGCCCAAGGATGAACCAGACTTGTGAAGGTCTACAATTCTCTTTCTGATGTCTTGGCTGTTTTCCTCATGTTGTCACAAAAGGAAGCAGAGTGTTTGAGGTGTGCCTTAAAATACATCCATGGGCATGCCTCCAATTAACCCAAATTAACCTATCAAAAGCTTCCAAAGCCATGACATCATCATCTGGGCTTTCCCAAATAGTTTTACGGTACAGTCATCTTAGTCTATGTAAACGTCTGACTTTGAAGAAAGTAGTGAAAAAAAAATTCTCTGTCTCTATTCTTCTAGCAAATAGAACTTATTTTGTTATCCTGACTGACCTAAAACAGGAAAGTTTAGTCAGATGTAATGTTAGATAGTGAGAAAAAAAGGTTATATGTTTTTTCAGGTCATGCCACCAAAAAATAAAGAGATCAACACAACTTTCTACATTACCAAAAACAATAATTCAAGTTGTTGTATGTCTATTTTTTACCGAGGGGATTTTGTCATATTTCCAAAAGACCTAGCAAACATTTCTAAAAAACCCAAAATGCATGAATGTGTTTTTGTGACACGTGGGTTCCATGATTCCATCACAGAAAATTCAGAGTTAAAGGAGTTATGACTTTTGTTTATGATTGGTGGTTTGATTGTGTTTTGATTTTTTCTTTTTGTCATGATGAAATGGGGGAGACACGAAATAGTAGTCACATTCAGCAGTGATTAGAATTTGCATAATGCCATGCGTTATACTACTCCTCAAAAATCTCTCACAGTTATTGAAGAGGTAAATTAATCGCTGTAATATTGCTACGCAAAGTTAAAGGCCATGTATGGAAATGGACGAGGGACAGTGGAAGTATCGTTGGGTCTGCATTAAAAAAGCGAGGAGAACAAATCTGTTATGCAACATGCCAAAGTATTGCAGTATTACAGAGGGCTGAAAGCCTTGCATAACTCAACAATTCAACCCACCTATCACATTTACTGTACATTAGTGAGCTTGCAGAGCTGTTCCTCATCACTTAGGAACTGAAAATCCCAGTTCTGACAAGTGGTCCCCATCCTTTCTCTCTGGCACATTGCAGAAATCTAGTACCACTCAGAGAGGGCAAAATGGGTTATTTTAGCCCCTCCTGTGTGCTGTATGTAGGCGACAATATTCAGCAGAGAACCTGGTTGATCTGTAGAGGTGGAGCACTTGCTCAGCTTCCTCCACAGCGCTGTATCCATATCTGGAACAGCAAGCATCTTTAGGGCTATTTTTAAGAAGCAGTGGACCACTTTCAGAAGCTGTTCAGTGGTAAATATGGAACAGATAGAGGAAAGTAACAAGCCTCTCATGCAACCAATGACTTAAATAAGCTCGCTGTGTTACGGACAGATTGATTTTAAGCCAAAAGAAAATGTCTTTGACTAGAAACACTAACATACTGAAAAAAATTCTAATCAAGTAATTAAAGATTTTGTTTTCCAATGAGTGAAATCACTTGTTGTTGTTTCCAGTTTGCATCAGTTTGAGCAATTTTGTAGAAATTAGTGTTGGTCTCTTGACAAAAATATGAATAAGTCAACCTTTTGCAAGAGAATTATATTGGCTTGGAAACTGGTTGAAATAATCCTATGATGGGAGAATCACTTTCACTTGTTTTAAACACAAGACTTAACATTTTGAAAAGATGACTTAAAGATCCTATTAAGTGAAAATTAATTTTTATTGTGTTATGTGCTTGTTAGGTATAAAGCAAAAGCTGTTAAGTTATGAAGACATTAACTTCCCACGTTCCTCAAGCCCCCCCAACAATTAGTTTGCATCCTAGCCCAGATGCTATGTAAGGCCTAACTAACCAATCGCCATCCAACTCAAACTGTGATTTACAGCTGTTCCTGTCAGTTATGCCCCTTTCAGATATGGAACACTGCTTGATTCATCAATTCATTAAGTAATGGTATTCTGTCATTTAAGGCCCTTTCAGACATAGATCACTTTTCCGTTAATGTTCCTCATGGCTGCATTCAGACATACCCACCACAGTGCCTGAGAGCACCACAGAGTGCAATATGTGCTATTTAAGCGAGACTAGTCAATTCACAAGGAATATATAATGCAAAATAATGTGTAACAGACTAAAACTAAACTAATCTCAACTGATCAACGTGTACAAATAACTCATGGCCCAGTTTATCTCAGATTTCTTCAACAGTGAAAGCTTAGGACACAACATGAGGACAACCACGATGTGACAAAATGTTATTTCCTGCAGCTGATAAACTGAGTCACATGTCACCTGTCTGAAGTAAAGAAAAGTTCACAGCTGCTGTTAGATCCTGATCGTTACTTTGTCCATGTTGGGATAATTTGCTCTGTATGTCTTTAGAGACCCTCGAGGATCCTACTGCTACCTCTGATGCTCTACGTATGTACTAAACTACAAAGAAATAGTTAGAAATGGCTGGAAACTAAACTACCACTGTGTGTGACAGTTCACCTGTTTGATTGAAGACATGTAGTTCTACACAGGGTGACCTGCTCTCAGACTGATTTGCTCTCAATGCTCTCTCAGGGAAAACTTATAATTATAAGAATCTAATTATGTTACTGGTGTATAAATGTGTGCAACTCTCTCTCTTTGCAGATACACATATGGATCCTGCTGCTGTCTGATGGTGCAGGTGTAAAACTAATCATAAGGCAATAGTTTCAAACTGCTGCCTAATAGATTTAAAACTGTAGAGGAAAGTGTATGAAAAAGGTGTGTTGTGATCTTGGCACACAAATTGTGTATCTGTGAAGTTTTGGGACGAATAATGTTGCTGAAATGTGGAAAAATTCTTCCATAAATCATGTCACACAACTCAAAGTATTGCTGCTTGTGTGAGTCCATCCAGTAATGTGACAGCTCAGATTGCACTTGTGCCATTTTGAAAGTTATATGG